GTCTTCCAAGTATCGGCATCTCCAAAATCCATTTTTTGCTTTAAAGGTATCAATATCTCCTTCATAGGTATCGACACCTCTTTCAAAATTTTCAAATTTTTTTTGCAATAGTCTTTCCCTATGAGTTCTAACTTTAAAGTAAAACACATCAAAAAGAATTCCCCACATTATGACCTTGCTTAAACCCTTTAAAAACCAAAAACCACTTATATATCTCATTGAAGCAAAGTTAAACCCACAATCATATCAAAATTTTTAATTCAAACTTAAATAAACATTTTATTCTAGTGAAGTATTCTTAAGAAGTATTAAAATTAACCCGAGGGATTTTAAACCCAAGGGATACTGCAGTCCCCCCTATCTAGGGCAATACTAAGCTGTTAACCTTTAGGATATACATAGTCTAATGCATATAGCCATTAACAGCAATACATGTCATATGCTATCCTCCACCACACGTTGCTAGCACCATTTCCATTTTTGCTAGCTAGGGCAACTACAACGTGCACAATGACCAACGAATATTATCACTAGTTACAGATCCTTAACTCAAGTAGCTCCACTTAAAGCACTAAATCTCTTTCAGATCTCTTTGTGAGCTCATCACACATTATCATAACACATAGTTTCAAAATATGTGATTCCATCACATATCATCAATGAACATCATCTCATTTACACCATCATGTTAAGTCCATTTTCTATGCTTGTCAACAATACCTTTAAATCATATATAGAATTTAGCATAATTCAACCACAAAAACTAAACATCAAAATTCAAAAAGCTTGTTCCCATGCACATTTTGAAATAATCATATAATAATCATACTTAGAAACATCACTTTAAAACATTTCATGCATTATCTTATCAAAACAATTTGAATGCAAAGTCCACTCACCACAGAAATGCCACATCTTCAAAGCTTACTGCCAATTCAACAAAACTTCAATACTCAATGGGTATTGATGCTTCAATGGGACAAAAAATAGGTACATAACACAATTAATTTCTCATAATTTTCCAAACCTAATTTTTTCTAACATTGGATACCTATTACCTTAAACCAAGGTTTAGCTCGTAAACGTCTTTCGAACTATAATTTATCACATAATTCACTTCTTTTCTAATTTATACTTACTTTGATGAGCTTATCTTAAGAAATCTAAATAGAAAATCCTAACACATGAGAGAATAATGAAGTTTTTTAGAGAAAGCTATTAAATTTGAAAACCCAGTCTTAAAAAGCTCAAGAGCTAGAAATCTTACCTTAATTGAGTTGGAGCCTACAATTTGAGGTAAAACCTAGGAATTTGTAAGATGGTAGTGAAATGGGAGGAAGAAAATTTCCAAGTTAAGGTGACTAAAGAAGGGAAGTGTGAAATGAGAGAAAAATGAGGTTTAACTGACTGAGTGGCACCTTATATACCCCATGGTGAAATCCTTATTCTACTCGTCTTTTAGTTTTTGCAAATCATGGTAAAAGTACTATACTTCTAGTCCAAGTATCGATACTTTTCATATAAAATGCTATCCTAAGACATTTTGGACTCTTGGTGTCGATACATCTTCTTGATGTATTAATAACATTTACACAAAATGCTTTTCAAGGCATTTTAGACTTCAAGTATCAATACTTTTGCAACAGAATGCATTTTTCCTGCCAAAACTTTTCGGTTTTTGGTTTTATCTCCACCTCTCTTCTTTTGGACATACTTAGAGATTTTAAAATAAAGTTTCTCAACAAAATTTCATATTGGTTACTTCAAAATGAATATTTTATAAGCTCAAATTCTCGATTCTACCCTTATAAGAGAAAAAAAAATTGAGTTCTCACAAATAAAAGTCGAGCTTCTCTACTTGAGTTCCATTTCATATCGTACCTTAATAACCATATTTGATTAGGAAAAATGGACAGCTAGGTTCTTTATGAGGGATCAAGTTGTCTCTTTGAGTTCCTAGGTTCTGAGTGACAATTTCTTTAACCTTTCTACCCTTGGATGAAAATTTCTTATGGTATACCTTCTCATAAGCTTTGTGCTAGGATTGGCTTTGTAAACTGATTTTGAAGATCGGCCCATGCATAGCTTATAGCATCCACACTCTTGCCATTGCCTTACCATAGACATATTAATTAGCACAATTAATAGTTTTGTTTCAAGAAGCAACAATGCTATCATTTTTACTTGATTAGATACAAATTTATGAACATAAAAATTAAATTACTCAAAATTGTTATAGAGAGACTAAAATACACATTTTGAGCTCATACAAAAAGCTACCAAGTACTTAAATTGATTTTTGTGCATCACTAGGAAGGACGTACTATTACACAATGTCATAATTTAGAATATTATTATAAAATATCATTAATAATTTAAATTACACTTATACAAAAGGTTTGGAAATAGAAGTGTCTTAAGGGTTGGGCTATTCACCTAGGCTTGTAAGCCTAGTCCAATTCGAGTTAGGATTGAGCTTACTCATAATTTCTTGAGGTCGTGCTGTGCTGCATAACTTGACTATTTTAATTATTAATAAATAATATATTTTTGTATTATTTTAACTTAAAATCATGTTTTAAAATATTAATATGAAAATAATATTTTTATAATCTTAATAATAAAGTGATCTATAAATGGACAAGTCATGTTTGGAGTTGATTTTTAAAAAATTAGACATAATTCGTAAACACCTCTATTAATTAGAAATAAACTCAACTCAAGTTTAAACAATATAAGTTTTGAAGACAATCAACTTTTTATTGCATTTTTGTCATAATAAAAATTGGGGTTCTCCGAATCCTCGACACCTCCAAAATCGTTAGTTGTCGGGCTCCATTTCCCCTCGGGTGTATTACAAAATGGGGTAAAGAAACAAAAATATTTTGAAGTTTGCCCGTGGTAAAAAAATATTTATCATAAAGGAGTTTGCAATCATCAAAACCAAAGATAAAAAGTGTACATTTGGTTTCCTTTCTGGTAATTTTTAAAATTTTTTCATTTTCATCCTAGTAATTATATGATATTCATAGTAGGAAATTAATTTCAAATTCCATCTCTTCTAAGGTGGCCTCAAATTACTAGAAAAAGAATTGTAAAAACATTTTTAAAAAAAAAACCTTTGGAGAAAAGTAGAACACTATATCAACTTGTGAATTTATATATGTAGAAGCATGCTTTTTTAAAGTGACAACGAAAGGTCCCATTGCCTTGTTTCAGATTGTTTCTTTTCCCTTTAAAGATTCCCAGAAACAACCCATAGTTATGAAAATCAAGATAAGTTAAAGTAGGCGCACAATCCTCCCTGTTGGAGCGGTGGTGGGCATGTTCTACACGCGGGCGGAACCTTCTCTCAGAATTTCACCCCCGCTGAAGAAGCAACTATTCATCATAAAATGAATCCATTCCCCGTTTTACCATCAGTCTTTTCTTTGCTTGTGGGTTTTCTTTTCAATACCTAAGAGTAATTCCACTAGAAAAAGAAAATAAATAAATAAAATACTCTTATCTCTTTTAAATTTATTCCATAATTATACGTAGAGTGTCGAATTTTATCAAACACTTTCAAATCTCACAACTCAAGAATGTCAAGTTCTCACAACAAGTTTTGAAACTCAAAACTTAAATCAAACATAGGTTTACGATTTCCAACCCCATAAGCAAATAAGAAAAAATCATTTTAATAACTCAACCTTCATGTTCTCTTCCCACCTTTGGACCCTTATTTGAATCACTCACAAAAAATCAAACATGGGTTTATGGTATTGATTTTGAGTTGGAGTGCCAAAAATCAATAATAAATCTAGATCATTTTTAAAATGAAATCTGAATTTTGAGAGAGTTTTAACTTCTGATTAGCTTAAAGATGAAATTAAGATAAAATTATCTTAAAAATATTGCCATATCATTAAAGTAATGAAAAAGTTAACTATTGACAACAACAAGATTTATATGTCCAACGAAAAATATTATTTTTCAAACGAACAACATCCAACCCAAAGGAAAGACACAAAAGAAACCAAGTCATTCCAAATCAAACACTTCTAAACTATTGAAAACTAAGGTTACATTTTTGCATTGAATTTTTTTTTATTATTTGAATCTTAATATTTGTTACGACGTGCCTGGTATGTGAAGCTTATACTTCTATTCATTTAATTTTATATGATAATTATCTATAAATACAAATGTTTTTGAAAGTATAAGCTTGAACTATTGTTAATGAAATTTATAATATTAATACAATATTAAATATGATTAGAGTTAACAACTTTTGTAATAAAAGTCATTCAATGCAATTAGAATTTTTATTTTTAAATAAGATAAATCTTTAGCATTTACTAAAAATATCGGCATTTTAGATATATAATGAACAAATATGTCTATGTTCATTAATAAAAATATTGTATCAATATTTGTACTTTTATATATATTATAAATGTATAAAAAATTTTATATTCTTATATTCTTCTACCTTTTGTTTACCAATATTTATTGATGTAATTTATAATTTCATCCCTAAATCTTTTTCTTTCCATCTTTCTTACCAAACACCAAAAATAAAAAAAGAAAAAGAAAAAAAACGTTTCTTCCTCTCGAACATGAACATCTGTCCTTTTAAAAAGCAGTAAGAATTATTAAATGAAAACCCCCATCACTTGTCCAGGCTTTTAATTAACTTTCACGTTTCCACTGGGAATTTCTTTCATTATTTTGTTTTCGTATTAAAACTGCGCATCCCCTGCAGGTTCGTGGTGTGTGATTTTTTCTTTAGTGACGAAATAAAGTAAAACTCGATCGAGAAAAGACAATTTCACCGTTGATGTAGCTCGCGCCACGTGGTGGGGTTACATGAGATTGCTGTCCTAAGAAGTTCTGCTTTTTCTTTTCTACAGTGCTGCTTTGGGCTCCAAAAGCAGGACACTTGCCTTTCCACGTCTACGATATGACTCTATAAATCCATCGAAAGCCAAGCTCCCCCTTAGATCTTATTGCATGCTCAGTTAAAGCACTTGCCAACCCAAATATTAGCAATGAAGAACAAGGCATCTGTTTTCTTGAAACAGGTCATCTCTTTGGTGTGGGTGAGTTCCATTTCCAAAGCCAAATCCATGGCAGTCAAGGGCAAAATGAGTGCAGCCAAGGCCCGGCTTATCATGTTCACTTTGATGAAGAGCAAGAAGGCGGTTTTGCTTACTTCTATCTCTAACAAGATTCACGGACTCCTTGGCGACAAGGAAAGTGACGAAGACCACCAAAGCACAGCCATACTTCCATACATTGATGCCGCAGCTAGTTATTATGGAGATGAGAACGAGGATGAGGATAAGTACCCTGATCTGACCCACTGTTTGTTTGATGAGGAGGAACTGGAGTTGGAGGCCGAAGCTCAGGGTGGGTCCATCATTGACATGGTGAGGAACTCCAAAGAGGAAGGACAAGATTTCAGCTTGGAAGACGAGATTGATCACGTTGCAGACTTGTTCATAACCAGGTTTTACAAACAAATGCGCCTGCAAAAGCTCTTGTCTTTCAAGAGGCATCAAGAAATGCTGGAGAGAAGCGTTTAGAGACCTGAGAGTTAGACACAACTTACCACTTTCGCTGTGTTTTTATCTTTAGGCTAACCTTCTTCACTTTCCTTCCAATTTCTTTGCAATTCAATTTTAATACAAATTAAGCTGTGACTTTATGTTTGTAAAATTTTCATGTGAAATAAAAAATATTGGCATCAACTTCAGTTACTCATACACCTACCTTTGTTTGCACCAAAATAAAATACTTTCTATTGGTTTAAAATTAAAATGTTATAAAATTTTAGAAATTAGGTTTTTTGCTTTTGCTTTACAATTATTTATTGCCCTTAAATTTGTAAAAGTTAAAGAGAGCACCTAAAATTAGTATTTTAATTAAGGGTATTATTACTAAAGTGGCTTTTTTTTTATTTGTGGGAAAGTAAATATTATTTTATTTTAAAATAATAAATATGAATAGACACTCAATTTGAAAAAAAAAAAAAAAGGTTATAGTTTCATGGAATGATTACACTAAAGTAATAATTCACAAAAATAAAGGTGTGAAAGCCACCACTAAATCCAGAGAAAGCTACATATAAGAAAAAGGATCCATAGCATCTCCATATCCTTACAATATTTAAAGAGCCGTCTTCAAAGATTTCCTTACAAGAAGCCCAGCCCATTTTGAAGCAGTGTAAACCTACATAGGGTTGCAAATCGCTTTGTATTCAACAGTAAAAAGGCCGTTCAATAACTTTAAATGTTTAAAGTCTCAAAATATTTAAATGAGGCTTTTTTTTTTATCAAAATTAAGAAAAAAAATTTAAGATCATTAAATATATATATTCTCATTAGTTGTTGAAAATAAAAGAAATAATTAAGAATTAATAGTATTGTAAGAATTGAAAAGTAATAAAAAATAAAGATTTATCAGAGACATAAGTAAAGAATTTAAAAAAGTAAGAGAATATGTCATTTTATTAATTATATTGACTTTTACATATTTTTAATAAAAAATAATATAAATAGTTGAGAATTAATAAAATGTGAGAAGTTAGAGAAAATAGACATTTGTAAGGTACTTAATTTAAGAAATATTTTATTAATTATCTTAATTTTTGAATATTTTTAATATAATTAATTATATTATTATAAAATTGTGTGTCCTAAAGCAAGGGTTTTGATGGCTTTATGGTAAAGCTGACCCTATAATAGTTATAGCATCAAGATCTGTTGAGATGAGTCCTGCAGCCAATTGCAATTGGTTAAGACTTGATTTCAATTATGCAATAACATTATTCATATTGAATGATTAAAAGTTTTTCTTCATCAATAAGACATCAATTATAACAAGTTATAAAGTATAATTGGATGAAGTTCATGAAATTAATATGCCTTGTAAGGAAACTGTAATGGATTGTAGTTATGAGATCCTTATGCATCAAAACGTAATCTAAAAAATGTTTATGGTCAATGTATCATTGAGACTAGACATCAATGATGCCTAAAGACTGGTACATTCTATATTCCTTACTTGAGAAGTAAGCAATCGATCTCATAGGCTAAAATGTAAAGATACTTGAAACTAGAATGTAGGTGTTTGCCTAAGAAAGCAAGTTCACTAAGCATGACCTGCCGTGAGAAGTGCATTTGGTGTTTTACTCAAGTGTCTATGTGATATTCTCATGTGTCAGTTGTATAAATACTCTCTAGACTTGAGACACCAAGTTGTCTTATGTGTGGAGTGTTATGCTTGATTTTATCCCTACAGGTGGCTAACCAAGGATGTCAAAACGGAATGTTTTTGGGTATAGCATGAAGCATGTGAAGACAAATGAGTGGTCAAAATAGGAATCATCACCCCAAGTGATGCAGGGGACATATCTTAATTGTTCTTGGTTGATATTAGCTTATTGAAGTCCTTGGCCAAGGTGACTTGAAGATTATGAAAAGAGTTTCATAAGTCTTTATAAAGCTGATGATCAAACTTTAAGAACGAACATGGAGATCAATAAAAGTAGACACTGCACCTTGCTCTTATCATTTTCGGGATATATGATGCAAGAATGAATTACATTGAAAGGCTGATCACTGAAAGGTTGAGTCAAACCATCTTGACTCTTCTAACATTTGAGTCTCTGTGACGAATTGTTAGATCCAAATCTTGGTCTATGAACTCTATGTAGTTAACTTGATTAATGATAAATTTAAGGTAGTTTAATTTTATCTAAGTCTAAGGTTAATTTAAGAATTATGTATTGAGTTCATTGCCAACATGTTAGAAGCCTAATAAGTCATACACCTTAAGTTGTGCCTAATTCATTAAATTATTTAATTAAGTCATTGGGCCTAATTAATTAAATTAAATAATTAAGTTATTAGGCCTAATTAATTAAATTTGTTTAATCAAGTTATTGGGCCTAATTGATTAAATTAAACAATTAAGTTAATTGAGCTTCTTAAGGACTTAATTAAATTATTTATTCAAATTATTGGATTAATTTGTAATTATAAAATAGTTTTATTATTAAGGTTTAAAATTAATCCGAGGTATAAATACCTTGCTATAGCCTCCAACAAAAGATGAGAGAAAAAGCTAAAAAAAAGAAAAAGGGGCTGTAGATTAGAAACTCTTTTTCTTGCATTCCTTGTGCAAAAAAAAATAGTTTTTTATTCACTTGATTCTTTTTCAGCCCCACAATTTTGTGTAGATTATGAGTTTATAAAACTCATCTTTACTAGCACATTGTTAAGGCATAGCACTCCTAATCCTTAAAGAAGAATTTTCTAATTCATTAGTGTGGATCACCATTAGAAACTACACAAAGATTCCTTAGACAGCTTTGGTTTGCAACAACCAGGCTGAGGTGGTTGAGCTTTTTGAAGGCAAATTGGTGGTTTAACAAAGGATTCATCAACCTTTGTTGTAAAGGTAAACTTGATATGATCATATATATATTATTTATAATTTAATTTTGTACTCAATTTGACATGAAAGAGATCCTAAGGAGGTGAGGCGTAATTTAATCTTAAATTTATTTTGCTGCATTTATTTATATTTGATGCATGATCAACCCTCACCCAACAAGATAATCTCTTGGTGAAGAAAAGGTAATTAAGACACAACCATTACTATCACAAAGCACACCACCAACACCTTTAGCCACTGGTTATTATTTTTAGGTGGCGTTTGGTACCTTATAATGTAATATAATTATAGGCAATATGATTGCAAGTAATGTAATTGTAAAAAAGATAACATTATAGTATTTTGTATATAAGTAAATTAATGATTAAAATGCAAAGAAGATAAAATTACAGCGTTTGATTTACAAATAATTTGTTGGGAATGTAATCAATTTCAAAACTACCCTTATTTATTAAAATGCATGTTTGATATATTTATATTTTTTATTATTAATTTTTATATAATATCATCTTTGAAATATATTTTTAATGTTATATATTTATTTTCATTTCTCATATTATATATTTTATTTTAATTTATTTTTTTAAAAGATAATATAAATTTTATTGACAATCATCATCTACCATCCAACAGAGAATGACTACTAAGAGCCACAAAGAGATATTTGTCAAAATTTATATATATAAAAAACAAATTATAACATTACAAAATGTCTTTAATAAAATAACAAAATTGAAAGGTAAAAATGTTTTTAATAGCATTGCAGAGTTTAATACAATTTGATTATATTGACTTTAAACTGTAATCACATTAAATTCATTGGCTGTAATGTAATTGTCTTGCAATTTTACTTACAGTGTTTGTTTGCAATGTAATTTAATTAGGCACATTACAATGAATGTGCTCTCACTTCCCTCATACTAAAAGCTATCTTAGATTATCTAATGAAATTTTGTCATATCAAGAGAGATAAATATATAATACAGACAAAAGTGTACAATCGAGTATTAAATGAAACAATTCCATTATTGTCTTTGTCTTAAATTGTTTTCTCATTTTTTATTTTTACGAAGATAATTTTTTTTATTTTTTGTAGTTTACATTGAAACTTTTCAATTCTTTTGTTGATGTTCTTGTTGCATATCTTTTAATGTCAAAAAGTAACAAAACAATCATAAAAATAAATTTTGAAATATAAAAGAGTAACATTATTAGGTGTTCAAAATGGAAAATTGAATATAATTTTGAAAAATCTAGGCATAATATATAAAAAAGCTTCTAAACTATTTAGAAAAATTCACATAAGCTTTATATTTTTAATACATTCAATCAAGTCCTTATACTTTTATTTTGAACTAAATAAGTTTTTTTTTACCTTTTTTTAGAATCAAATAAGTTTTTATAATTAATGATTGACTTAATTATAATATCATTTGTTATTCTATGTCATTTGACATGTTAATATATCATAATTGATGATAACGTAGTATACTTATATATCATAATTGTTAATGACATTGTATGTTATTTTGACATGATAATATGATGACGTGCTATATGAATATAAAATGATAAATGATATTTTAATTAATGATAATTAATCAATCATTAGTTAGAAGAGCTTATTTAACTCAAAATAAAAATATGAAAACTTATTTGAATTCTTTTTAATAGTTTAGAGACTTTTTTGAATATTATGTCAAAAATTCTAAAAGGAAAAAAGAATGGATAAATAAAATCAGACCAAGGAGATATTGTTCTTTTAATCTTAGGATGACGTTATAATAATTGAAACGGTCAATGAACTGCTTCTTGGTTCAACGAATGAGTTCAATTCAAGACAACATTGATGATTTGAGATATTAGCTCGATGTTAAATATATATTAAACACATAACAAAAATTTAAATTTAATTGAGATTGAGGTTCCAATCTTGCCACCTACAAAAGCTTTTTAAAAATAAAAAGCAACAATTAAATGATAAAATCTTATTTCAAAAATTGCCACCTATGAAACTTTTTTTAAAAACAAAGACAACAATTAAATTGTAAAATATGATTTTAAAAAAACTGATCAAATCTACTCAAATTGATAAGTTGATCGATTCTTAGTTGATCAGATTACTCGCATTTCGATTGATCCCTTCCAACCATACAAACCATATATCGGTCTTCAATTGAAACGGTTTGAACAAATGATTTTATTCAAATTTTATACTATTGAGTTTAACTTTTTTTATCACATTTTTCACATTTAATTTCTTTTATTAATAAATTATTAATAATTAAAATTAGAATAAGTTT